ACAGAACTGGAGAAGAACGAGGCCGCTCTCAAAAGTCGGTCAACAGGTAGGTGAGCCAGCGTAACTCCTGTGTAGCCATGGCCCCTACGTAGATCTCAGCCTCACAACTGGAACTGAGAACAGAAGACGAGCGGGTAGACCGCCAAGAAACAGAGCCGGAGCCGAGGCCGAAAGTGTAACCCAGTGACGACCGCTGCGTAGCCAAGTTGTAAACCCAAGATGCGTCTGCGTGTCCAGTGAGGACAACTGGACCAAGTCCTCCAAGCACGAGCCCCATGCCCGATGTACTGCACAAGTAGCGAAACACCCTCTTAGCAGCCTCCTAGTGCTCTGGTCGGGGCCTCCTGGGCGCAACGTAGCATGCTAGGATGCTAAGAGGGTAAGCAAGGTCAGGTCGAGTGCAGGTCATCAGGTACATGAGGCAGGCCACAAGCTCTGTATATGGGCCACTCGGTTCTACGGACTCGTCCAAAGGTGGAGCTGAGAGCGAGTGACCAGTAGGCAAAGGAGTGGACTGTGGCGAGGAGTACCGGAAGCCGAAGCGCTGAAGGACCTGGTGCACCATGTGTGACTGAGTCAAGGTGATGGTGTGCCGTGCTCTCTCCCGGGTGATCTGCAAGCCAAGATAGCTGCGCAGCTCACCCAGGTAAGTGCAGGTGTGTCTCTTCTGCAGCTCCAACTTCACAAGGGCCAAAGCCTCAGTGTGAGCAGTGGCAAAGACCAAGTCATCGACATACACGAGGACGTAGAATGGCAGCAGCGAAGTGTCGGTGCGTAGAAACAGCGACGGGTCAGCAGTCGAATGAGCAAACCCAAGAGCCGCAAGCGTCGTCCTCAGTGTGTCGTGCCACTCGCGAGGCGCGTGGCGGAGACCGTAGACTGGCCGCCGGAGGCTCCACTGGGTATCTGCAGGAAACAACCCAGTGAAGCAAGGTGGGCGGCGCAGCCAGATCTCCTCAGGCAGGCTGTCCTGTAAGAAAGCTGTGCTGAAGTCAAGAGAGTGCAACTCGTAGTCACGCTGAGCGGCGACGTGCAGCAGAACGCGAAGAGTGGTCATCTTCGGGGTAGGGGAGAAGGTATGGAAGATGTCAACTCCCTGTCGCTGACTGAAGCCTCGTGCAACGTAACGAGCCTTGAAGATAGGCGGAGAACCCGGCGGCCGCTTCACCCTGAAAATCCACATGCCATCGACTATGTTCGCCCCAGAAGGGGGAACTGCGTCGACGTAGGTGCCTGTTGACTTCCACGATGCCATCTCTGCATCCATGGGTGTCTGCCACTGAGAGGAGTAGGGACCCGTAATCGCCTCTGCGTAAGAGCGCGGGGTCGGGATGTCTGGTGCATCCGAGCCTCCCTCAGGTGCAAGCAGCATGGCCACGAGATGAGGCACAGCAGCTGCAAGACGCTCAAAGTCCTCCTGCCTATCCTCAAGGACGTCGGTGCCAAGAGCACACTCAACCCCGACGGACGGAGGACAGTCAGACTCAGACTCAGCAACAAGACTAGTGGCGTAGTCGAGACGAGAGGCGGCAGCAAAGTCAACAAGCTCAGCAACTAGGGCAGACGCAGCAGTGGACTCAAACGAAGGGTCGGTGACAACATTGGCTAGAAGACGAGGGACAGTAGGACTGGCAGCAGGAGCTAAGTCAGACTCAGGGTCAAGAACGTCAGGAAGAGAGGACACAGGAGGAGACGGCAGGGGAAATCGCAGTGGAAAAGAGGAAGGACGAAGTGCCATAACGTGAGTGCCGGGGACAAGAGGAGGACGCGGACGAGGAACACGACGACCAGTGCGAACAGCGCGAACAAGTGAGGCAGGACGAGACTCAGGCTCACGACGCGCCGTAAGAGAGTCTGTCTGCTCAGCGTAAGGAGAAGGAGCAGGCAGTGGGGATTCTGGCTGTAACTGTGGCTGCGACTGGTGAGGCAGTGGACACAGTAGGCTAGGAGTAAGGCCAGTAGAAGATGGGAGACTAAGAACCTGGCGAAGGACCGAGTCAAGTGTCGGCAGAGACCTGGGAAGACCAGAAACAAGGAGGCGGGAGTGCATGCCACGAAGGCGTGGCAGGGAGGGGTGACCAAGGCGGTGGTGCCAAAGGAGATTCTGGTGCAACAGGAGGCGACACGAGCAGGGGGGTGCTACCGGACCTGACGCGGACACCTGAGCAGACACAGCTACCTGAGGAGGCTCAGCAGTCAGTGTGTACAAACTCGACCCAGGCCGACGGGTGGACGTGGCCAGGTGCGGCCCGTCTGTGTACGCGTGCAGATCGACACACGCTCACCCCCAGGAGTGGTGGTAGTGACCATCGCATCCTGGAGAGCAGCGGCACTCACCAAGTTCGTAGAGAACGAGGGTAGGTGAAGACCTGAGAGTGAGTCGGACGGAACCGCCAGACACGGGAGAACAGTGGAGGAACGGGCAAGAACTGGGCCCCCTGAGGGGTCAGCCAGTCTGACTGGAACATGTACAGGGAGTGGAGTGAGTGTGGTACTGTCGCGAAAGAAACAACGGGAAGCACCTGAGTCAAGTGTGAAGGTGTGCAAGGCCTCAGCAAGCGCAGTACCAGGGAGAGCAGACTCACTAGCACCTAGAGCAGCAGCCTCTATACATTGGTCGGGCGGCACACACAGGTAACAGTCACCCTCAGCACTTACAGACAAGGCATACATGGCAACAAGGATAGCATCATAGTCAAGAGCAAAGATATCAACTCCAGACCTAAGCAGCTCTAGCCAGCGGGGGCGCTTAGCCTCGTCACCAAACTCTGCGCGCCAAGCGTCGTCAAGGCGGGAGAAGCAGCAGTGCTGAGTGTGAAACTTCCCGCATGTCTGACCAGTGCAGTCACCTGTGCGAATGACATACGGGCAGCGAACACTACCCCCAAGACGCCCCACGCTGAGCAAACCACTCACGAAGCTGCTGGGGTGTAGGGGTCTCGCTCCGACGATGGTGCTGCTGCCTCTGGCCACCGCCAGAACCTCCCCGCTGAACAGCTCCACCCCGTCCGCCACCACTGCCGCCGCCACCACTGCCACTGCCGCCACCACCGCCACCCCCAAACCCACCGCTGCCACCACCGCCGCCACCGAAGCCTCCACTCCCGCCACCACTCCCACCGCTGCCACCACCTCCGCGACCTCTACCACCTCCACTGCCGCCACAACCACCACCCCCGCTGCCACCGCCACCACTCTTGCCACCCTTGCCGTTGCCGTTGCGGTGCTTCCCACTAAGAGTAGAAGCAACCCCGACATCCTCAGCACCAAGGACGTCAACAGCAGCAGTAGAGGCGTAGGAGGGGGCAAGGGGGGAGGGGGAACACCCCTCAAAGAAGGGTGTGCGAGGAGTGCCACGAGCAGCACCTACAGCGACTACGCTAGTCTCAGCTGCAAGGAGGTGCTTCTCGAGCAGGTCGACAGTGAGGTCTGTGGGGTCAAGTGCGAGAAAGTGGTCCCTGACAGCGCGAAGAGAGTCAGGGAGGCGGATGACTATGAAGTAGAGAATGATGTACATCGGGGGCGGGTTCTTGTCTAGGAACTCGGCTGGGAGGGCAGCGCGGTAGCGAGTGTCGCTAGTGCGAAGGTGGGGTAACGAGGTCCTCGACTGTGGCAAAGGCTGACAGCTCGGGAAACAGGTAGGGCAGTATAAGGTGGCCGAGAGCAGCAGTGGCAGGGGAAGAGTAACGAGCGATTACAGCGTCGTACAGTGCTTTAGCAGTCTTGTGCTGGCCAAAGTGAGCGCGTTCGGCTAACGGCAGGTGGTTGCGAACGGCTAAGCGAGCAGCAGCATCACGGGTAAGCCACTGTGAGCGAGTCGCATTGTCAGCTGTGGCGGGAGGGGCGAGAGAGGCTCCAGGCGTGTGTCCAAACAACGAAACGCTCTCTAGAATCGCTGAGTAGGTACAGCTGTAAGTCATCTAGCCACATATCGAACTGGATCGGACGGCCCTCATGATCGAAGGTGAGAACACTGAGAGGAGCCATAGCGGGCAGAGCAGGGTGGCGCGCGACCAGCAGGGAAGCACGCAGGCAGGGCGGCGCTCGAGCACTAGGGAAGCGCGCAGGGCAGGGAGAGGCGGCGCAGGACTAGGGAAGAGCGGCACGCAGCCAACGCAGGGCAGGGCGGCGGCCAGCAGGGCGGCGCGTGGGCAGGGCAGGGCGGTGCGGCTGCCAGCAGGGCGGCGCGCGGGCAGCAGTGCATCGGCCTGCAGGGCGGCGCGCAGCAGGGCGGGCAGCAGCAGGGCGGCGCGGGCAGGGCGGTGCAAGCAGCGGTGCGGCTGCCAGCAGGGCGGCGCGCAGGCAGCAGGGCGCCGGCCTGCAGGGCTGCGCGCAGCAGGGCGGGCCGCAGCCGGGCGGCTCGAGCAGCAGGGCGGCGCGCAGCAGGGCAGTGCGGGCAGCAGGGCGGCTCAGCGCGGGCAGGGCAGGCCGACGCGCAGGCAGAGCAGGGCGGCGCAGCTGCCAGCAATGCGGCGCGCGGGCAGGGCAGGGCGACGCGACAGCCAACAGGGCGACGCGACAGGCAGCAGCAGGGCGACGCAACAGCCAGCAGGGCGACGCGACAGGCAGGGCAGGGCGACACGACATGCAGGGCAGGGCGACACGACATGCAGGGCAGGGCGACACGACATGCAGGGCAGGGCGAGACAGCTAGTGGGGCAGCGCTATGTGGTGGGCCCTAAATAAACGGTGCTGGAATAGGACCTGTTCCGAAACCATGTCAGAATACTGAACGAGAATGAATGCATTGAACATAAAGTTGGTACAAGTACTAACCCTAATTGGGTTGTACCCCTTATGGGCTACCCCAGTACAGCCTACACAATGTAAGCATTATAACATTTTGACAATGAGTCCCACCCCATACCGGTACGACCACTGCTGTTGCTGGTGACACTGCGTCCTCACTGCAAGCAACCCCACTGCAACCATCGCAGCCAGCTGCTGCTGTTGATGCCTCTGCTTTCCCACCATCCTCTGCCTCCGCCGCAACAACCCGTTTACTGCTGCTGTTGCTGCTGCTGCTGCTGCTGCTGGTGGTGATACTGCGTCCTCCCTGCAAGCATCCCTGCTGCAACCACTGCAGCCAGCTGCTGCTGTTGATGCCTCTGCTGCCGCACCTTCTTCTGCTTCCGCTGCTGCGACCCTCCCCCTCCCCCTCCCCCCCCACCCCCGGCCCCCCTGACTGCACCTCCACCGGGTGACTCTTGTGCCACAGCAGCAGCAGCAGCAGCATCCCTAGGGGAGAGCAGGACCAAGGTGCTGCCGACAGCACGAGGGTTGGAGCCTTGTATGCCAGGTTGGGTCCAAGTAAGCGGCTGCATGGGTGCATTGGACACACCACCTTGGCTGAAACCACCTCCCTGCTGTTGCTGCTGCTGCTGCTGCTGCTGCTGCTGCTGCTGCTGCTGCTGCTGCTGCTGCTGCTGCTGCTGCTGCTGCTGCTGATCACACTCCTGCTGCTGCGGCTGCATCACAGTAAGAGGGCTGAAAGCCAAGGGGTAAGGGTGGCCCGATGGCGCGGACGACACAGCAGTGGCAGTGGTGGCAGGGTGCATTCCCGCATACATGTACGGAGAGCCATGCCCCCCATGACCACCCGTGTGACCTGAGTGCTGCTGGTTTGGATGGCTGGGATGGCCCGGATGGTTTGGATGGCTGGGATGCATGCTTGGGTGAACGTTCAAATACATGCTGGCCTGTTGCGGCGTGTTATGATGTTGGGGCATGTTGGCATGCTGCTGCGGCATGTGATGCCCTATCGCGCCAGGTATGGCATAGTGTGCTGCCATGCCAGGCGGCATGGGCGGTGGCGGATACCCATGCATGCCTGCTGGCATGGAATACATGAAGTGAGGGGCGGGTGGCATGGCGTGGTGCTGGGGGTGGGAGGAGGGGTGTGGAATGGCATGGTAGTGGGTATGGTTTGGTGGGGGGTGATGGGCCAGATGGGAAGGGGGAGGCGGGACTGAATGAGTGCCTGTATGCGGGTGTGACTGTAATGGGACGCTAGCATGACCTGCCACAGGTGCAAGCGCAGAAGCAGCAGGTGGTGGCACTGGGGAATGGGCTGGGGTGTATGGAAGGCCGTGGGACGCGCTTGCTATGGCACCCGCACCCATGCTAGTCTGCATTTTACTCCGCCCCTGCTGCCTCTGCCTCTGCTGCTGTAGAGACACATAGCTGGAGCTGCGAGAGATGGGCGCAGGGGCTGACACACACCCAGCACCAGCACCATCACCAGCAGCAGTGGCAGCAGCAGCAGCAGGAAAAGCAGCAACAGCAACAGCAGCACCACCACCACTATCACCATCACTATCACTATCACCACCACCACCACCACCACCACCACCATCACCATCACCATCACCAGCATCACCTCCCCTCTCATCCACCTCCTCTGTCTCCCCACACTCCTCTTCCTCCTCCACCTCCCCACACACATCCTCCAAGTCCCCACACACGTCTACAATCACCTCCCTCGTCCTCTGCCTCTTCCTCCTCTCCCTCTCCTGCCCCGACGACCCACACGGCCCACCTAAAGCAGGTGTTTTCCCAGGTGGATTCTCAGGTGCCGGCGCAATCCCAGGTGCAGCTGCTCCAGACATACTCTGGGAGGCAAACTGGGCGGCAGAAACATCAGGTGCAACAGAAGAGGGACCAGTTACACCAGCAGCAGCAGGAGAAATCTCAGGTGCAGCTCCAGGCGGGTCCATCGCAATTGCGGGGGATGGTGGTGCGGAGAGGGCAGGGGAAGCGGATGGGGATGGTAGGGGGCGGAGGAGGCGGGTGGAGGAGAGGGGGGAGCAGACCAGGCGTGGAGGGGCCTTGGGCTGCTTAGCTGACACCACTAAGAAGGGCTGATTGGGTGCAGCTGGGGTGGGTGCAGCTGTGGTGGCAGTGAGTTGGGGTTGGGGGGGTTGGGGGGAGCTGGACATGAGAGAAGACGAATTCGGTGCAATCTCCCTGGGGACACCAGCAGCAGCAGCGGCAGCAGAACCGCTTGCAGCAGAGGGGGCAGCAGTTGCAGCTGCAGTGGCAGCAGCATCAGGAGCTTCGGCAGCAGCAGTGGCAGCAGCGGCGGCAGAAGCATGAGCATGAAGAGGAGTTGGTGGGAAGTAGTGAGGAGGGGGGTGAGAAACGTAGCAACCATATGCAGCAGCAGCAGCATCGTCAGCAGCAGCAGCAGCCGTTGATGCAGCACCATAGTGGGCATCCAACGGCTTCTCCATACTCGAGCTCACCCCTAGGGAGATCTCCCCACTGTGCCCTGCCAACCCACCAACATAGCCAGCAGCAGCAGCATCAACAGCAGAAGCACCAGCAGCACCAGCATCGGCAGATGGACCTGCGTCAGTTTCCCGGCCTGTCACCATTCCTTCCCCACCCTCCCCTCCTTGCCCCACTCGTCCCCCCGCTCCCGCGTTCAGAGCCCCAGCGGGGTCAGCAGACGTGACTGCCCCACCGGCAGTGGACGACCTACTGGCAACCACCATGCCACTCGCCTTCGCCTGCTCCTCTATGATTTTCTGGAGGTATTTACCCTGCGCCTCAATCCTCAACTGCAGCTGCCGCTGCACCTCCAGCTGCTCGTGCAACCGCCTCTGCACCTCCATCTGCATCCTGAGTGCCTCTGTGATCGGGATGTTGCGAATGCTGCAAGCGGGGAGGGAGGGAGGGAGAGAAAGCAGGTAAGCACACAAGGAGTGGATCAGACCTTGTTCCTGCAGCTGCAGCTGCATGGGAAGGCGCTTCTGCATGTCCCTCGGCGTTCAGGGTGCTTAGATGAATAAAAGGAGGTGATTTTTGAGTCTATTCAAATCAAACGATACGCTGCACATACTGCAGTCCACGAAGCAAGCAGTGAGAGGGAAGGGGGAGAGGGAGCCGGAACATAAGAACTGAGTAAGACATATAGTCAGCAACAAGCGAAGCAAATGTAAAGCAAGGATGAGACATGGTTTTAGATAAAGTGGGGGAGGGGAGGGGAGAGGGGGGAAGGGAGAGTGGGGAAGGGATGGGCGGTGGTGGTGTGGGTTAGGGAGTGAAGGACATACACAGCAGGGTCGAGCGACATACACAGCAGGGTCGAGCGACATACACAGCAGGGTCGAGCGACATACACAGCAGGGTCGAGCGACGAAGGCTCGCCGTCTGTAGCGACAGGCTGGAAGCCCAGAGAGCCAGCAGCCGCAGCGGCAGCCGCAGCCGCAGCGGTGGCGGCCACAGCAGCAGCACCAGAAGTAGCAGGAGCAGCAGCAGTAGCAGCAGTAGCTGCAGCGCCGGCCGCGGTAGCGGCGGCGGCGGCGGCAGCAGCAGGAGGGAAGGGGGGCGGAGCTAGTGTGACGGGCGCAGGTGCAAAGACTCCAGAGGCAATGCGCTTGGGGGCTTTCTCTGCCCTCTCTGGTCTTGGCTCTGGGAGGGACAGCAGGAGGGATAGGGCGGAAAGGGACAGGTGAATTGCTCGGAATTCTTTGCATCAGCAGCAACAGCAGCAGTGTCGGCGGCGAAACGGCGGTGCCGTCGCCACTTCACACCCTGCAGTGCAGGTTTGTCAGAACGTAGGCTCGGGAGAGCGTAGGCTTGGCAGAGAGCTGGCTCAGCAGACTAGTTCAGGAATGTGTGCTCTGTGGCTCCGTGGCCAGTTCAGCTGTTGGTGTATTTTATGAACTTACCCTTTTCTCGGGGTGTGGAAGGCAAAGGATCTGGAAGGTACTTGGCGAGTCGATACTTCTGCAGAGAGGGACAACATATGCAGAGGGGGAGGGGGGGAAATGGGGAGGGGGGAGGGGGGAAAGGGGGAGGGGGAAGGGGAGAGGGGGGCAGGGGGGAAGGGGGAGAAGCAGGAAATGTTAAAGCGGCCCAAGAAAGAACTTTGAGCCGACTAAGAAATCTTCACCTGCACGTGGCTCTTGACGTGGCACATTGTGATTCGTGCGCCCTTGCATACACGCGCATGCCATGGCATGGCATTCAGTGCGACCCAGTCCCATGATACCACTGCACCAACCATACATGCATGCATGCATGCCTGACGACTGAAGATGGTTTGTGTGACACACGCAACTACGCACCTGCATCTGGCTCTTGACGTGGTAAATGGTGAGCACCTACATGCCCATGACCAAGTCCAATGATATCACCACACCAACCAGACATGGTTCTGGCACATGCATGCATCATGCATTCCTATAGATGACGATGGTACTGGCACATGCATGGATCATGCATTCCTATAGATGACGATGGTACTGGCACATGCATGCATCATGCATTCCTATAGGTGACGATGGTACTGGCACATGCATGCATCATGCATTCCTATAGATGACGATGGTACTGGCACATGCATGCATCATGCATTCCTATAGATGACGATGGTACTGGCACATGCATGCATCATGCATTCCTATAGATGACGATGGTACTGGCACATGCATGCATCATGCATTCCTATAGATGACGATGGTACTGGCACATGCATGCATCATGCATTCCTATAGATGACGATGGTACTGGCACATGCATGCATCATGCATTCCTATAGATGACGATGGTACTGGCACATGCATGCATCATGCATTCCTATAGATGACGATGGTACTGGCACATGCATGCATCATGCGTTCCTATAGATGACGATGGTACAGGCACATGCATGCATCATGCGTTCCTATAGATGACGATGGTACTGGCACATGCGTGCATCATGCGTTCCTATAGATGACGATGGTACTGGCACATGCATGCATCATGCGTTCCAATAGATGACGATGGTACTGGCACACGCACCTGCAGGTGGCTCTTGACGTGGTAGATGGTGAGGCCTTGCACGCCCATGACTCGCAGAACACCCTTGGGCGTCGCCTCTGCACGAAACGGGAGGGGGCATGGGGAGAACAATTGGAACGGGAGGGAAGGGGAGGGGGGGGGGATGGGGAGAAGAGAGAGGGAAAAGAGGGAGAGGTCAGTGGAAACGGGAGCAGAAGTGGCAGCGAGAGAGGGAGGCGGGGGGCATGGAGGGAATAAATGCCACCCTTCCCATCCAGCCACGACGTACTGTCAGCCACCAACACGGAAGAAAGAAAGAACGGACGGAGGCAAAAGAAGAAGAAAGAAAAAAAGAACTTCCTGTCAGCCCCTCCCAGGTTCGCGACTGCCTCCGGCTTCCACCGCCTTAGTGGGAATATACGCTTATAGCGTATATACGCGTATCGTATATACGCGAACGTATATACGCTAAACGCTTAAGGGTCGATTTGGTAATACGCTTTTTCGGGCAGGTAAAAAACTATCCCGGGCAGGGTGAAAAAAACGTCGTGCTCAAGATTAAGAAGGTGATCCCTATTCTCATTAAGACTTTCGTAGCATTTCCCTAAGTCTGAACGGCGATTGGGGTGGGACGTGGAGTAGACACTAAAAGGAGAAGTAGGTAAGAATCGGAAGGAGCTCTGCTGTTAGAAAGCGGGAATGCCAACTAGAAATGACGACTGGAAATTTGCTGGCTGGTAAGTAGCGTGAGTGGGGTTTGGTGGGGGACGTTATGGACAGGTTGGAATTCGTAGATAGTTCTTCTATGCGGTACCAAGCTAATGTTCAAATTTGAACTGCCTGCAACTTCGAAGGCCCACTCCCGCTTCCCTAGACCGTCAAATTGCATTTCGACTTAGGCGAAATGCTCAGCAGAAGATTCCGCATCTTTCTGTATACAAGCGATTTTTTTCCCTGGGCAGCCCGAAAATTTTTTTGATAGCGTATAGCGTATTAGCTAGCGTATTGCGTTTTGCGTACACACGCTAGCGTGTATACGCTATACGCTTTAGGGTTTGAGCGTATATTCCCACTAAGTCCACCGCAACCTGTGCTAGGGGAATAAGACATGCATAACACACCCCCCTCTTTCCAACCGCAGCCTGTGCTAGGGGAATAAGACATACATAACACACCCCCCTCTTTCCAACAGTCACACGGGAAGACAAGCAGACTTACTGTCAGCCCCTCCGAGGTTTGCGACGGCCTCCACGAATTTCTCATGCAGCTCTGGCGTCCACCGCAGCCGGTGCTTGCCGGAACTCCCCCCATCGCTGCTGAACCCGCCGCCTCCCCCGCCTCCTCCCCCCATGCTGAACCCCCCTCCCCCGCCCACGCTGCTCGTCGCCCCCCCTTCCCCTCCGCGCCCTCCCAGTGACCCCGCGGGCGCCACCCCTCCGCCCGAAGCAGCAGCTGCAGCAGCGGTGGCGGCAGCAGCAGACGCGGCAGCAGACGCAGCGGCGGCAGCAGCGTCCGTCCCCGGGGCAAGCAGATTCATCCCCCCTAAAGTGTCGATCCGGCACATGCTTACCCCATCCATTCCACCACCGCCACCCCCGGCCCCACCCTGGCCCTGCATCCCAGCAGTGGCACCAGCGGCACCAGCAGCGGCTATGGCAGCAGTGGCAGCAATGGCAGCGTTACCATTGACTGCTGCTCCATGCGACGAAGTTCCCGTCCCGTCTCCTCCTCCGCCTCCGCGTCCCGCTCCCCTTTCCCCTCCCCCTCCCCCTTCCCCTCCCCCTCCCCCTTCCCCTCCCCCTCCCCTGCGCCCTCCGCCCCCCCCTCCCACACCACCGCTGTTCCCAGCAGTGGAAGCAGAGGATGCGGGCGCAGCCACGCGGAGGGCGCAAGGCATCCCCCCCAGCGACAGGGGCAGCGGCGGCAGGGGCAGAGGGTCCCTTCCCCCTGGGTGGATCTGTGCGTACATCCCTGGCACCGCAACCAGGGAGAACGGGAGGTCTGGGGAGGAGTAGGGATTTTGGAAGGGCGGGTATGGCGGCCTGGACAGCGGTGAGGCGGGGAGGTGAGATGGGGGTGGGAAGCTGGGGTTGGGTGTGCTTGCGTGTTGTGCCTGGTGCGGCTGGTACTGCTGCTGCAGCTGCTGCTGGTGATGGTGGTGATGATGGTGCTGGTGCTGCTGCGGCAGCTGCTGCCGCTGATGGCTATCTTGGCTTGCAGAACGGTTTTCCCGAGGGGTCGGGCGTTTCGCAAGCAGGTCGTGTCGCTCCTGCTGCTGCAGATGATGATGTGGTTGCTGCTGCTCCTGATGCTGCTGGTGCTGCTGATTTTCTTCCTGCTGCTGCTGGTGATGTTGGTGTAGCTGCTGGTTCTGCTGTTGCTGTTGCTGCTGCTGCTGCTGCTGCTGCTGCTGCTGCTGCTGCTGCTGCTGCTGCTGCTGCTGCTGCTGCTGCTGCTGCTGCTGCTGCTGCTGCTGCTGCTGCTGCTGCTGCTGCTGCTGCTGCTGCTGCTGCTGCTGCTGCTGCGGTTGCGGGTATCGGAGTTCCCAGGGAAGGGAGGACGACGAGCCCTGCTGCCCTCCCGCTTGAGCTGTCTCCAGCTTGGACGGCACCACCACCTGTAAAGGCAGGAGGCAATGAAAATGAAGCACGAATAAGAAGTTGACAAATGAGCAGACTCACTCAAGGGTCGCTTCGCTTTGCTGCCCTCCCACCCACCTCTGTGCTGGGTCTAGCTTCGAAAAGAGAACCAGCTGTAGAGAGAGCAAGATCAATGGAGGATGACAAAGAAGAGGGACGGAGCTGCTGCCTGCAGCGAGAGCAGCACGATTAGGAACGACCGACTATTCGACGGGACGGGCACGGACAGACAGGTGGAGAGCAATGGAATGGAATGGAATGGATAGAGATGAGCGGCGACACACAACACATGCACAAAGACTCGACGGCGGCGAACCGCAAAGGAGTTTTGAAAATGAACGTCGGCAGAAAGAGAAGGCGGAATGCTGCAAGCAGTGAGCGGAGCGGAGCAAGCACGCGGAACTGGAATGGTCCAACAAACTATTAACCAAGGAGCCAACTTTGCCTGTTGCTTCCCGTAGCACATCCCATACGGTTGTACCTGTACCTAACGGGTTTCTGGAACCACTTCCTGTTTCTCCCCCGAAGAACCCAGAGCCACCTTGGAGAAATCTCAAAAGAGACACATACCCAGCCCAAGGCTTTCACCCCAAGTAAGACAGCCTTCCTTCTTCCCCCGTAAACCACTCAGAGCCACCAACCCACCCACTCAGAGCCACCAACAGCCCACCTCGTCATCCACCTTCAGCAGCTCCGCCCAGTCAGCTCCAATGGCTTCGTCTGGAGTGTACTCAGGCCACGTCGGCCAATCACAGCCCGTTCCGGCCGCTGCTGTCGGCCCGTACGCATCCCCCATGTCTTTTTCCCTTCCGCCGTTCGCTTGGCGCCCCCTCGTCATCCCCCTCTCCTCCGATCTCCCTTCCGATCTGCCTTCCAGCCTCCCCTCGAACCTCCCCTCCACGTTCTCGATTTTATCTGATTCGTCGGTCCAAATGTTCTCCAGACCCCCCACCTCCATCCGACCCTCGTTATTGTCACGATCCATCTCTTCCCCGTTACCAGCTTCCCCGACAATCATTACAGAAGCCGCGTTCCCGCTCTCGCCAACCTCGCACTCCTTGGCGAATCTCGACGAACCCGTTGCAGCATTGTTACCATCTAAGTTGTCTAGCGCCCCCTCGCTACCGAACATGGATGAGAAAGCGACTGGCGGAGAGTTGGCGTAGAACCCTTCAGCGTACACATGACCGCCCGCGAAAGTCAGGGGAATGGGGGACAGGTGCGAGCTGCGACGGTCCGACATGGTCGTTGGAGAAACCTCGTCTGACGCCATTTGTTCGAACTTGAAATGCTGCTGCTGCTGCTGCTGGTGCTGGTGCTGGTGCTGCTGGTGCTGATGCTGCTGCTGCTGCTGCTGCTGCTGCTGCTGGTGCTGGTGCTGGTGCTGGTGCTGCTGCTGCTGCTGCTGCTGCTGCTGCTGCTGCTGCTGCTGCTGCTGCTGCTGCTGCTGCTGCTGCTGCTGCTGCTGCTGCTGCTGCTGCTGCTGCTGCTGCTGCTGCTGCTGCTGCTGCTGCTGCTGCTGCTGCTGCTGCTGCTGCTGCTGCTGCTGCTGCTGCTGCTGCTGTTGCTGCAGCAGCATTCGTTGGTGCTGATGCTGTTGCGGCGGCTGAATGGGGAACGCGGGGGGTGGGAGGTACAGGACGTCTTGCGTTTGCTGATGCTTCGGCTGAGTCTCCCGCTGCTGCTGGTTTCGCGGAGTCCCACGTGGCTTGGAGTCCATGGGAATGCGGTTGCCTGCGTTGACTCCTCAGATGTCACATATCAAGCTCACATATCAACTAACTGCACTTATCAGGCTTTCAGCAGTATCGGCCTCTGTACTTATCAGGCTTTCAGCAGCATCGGCCTCTGCATTTAACAGGCTTTCAGCAGTATCAGCCTCAGCACTTCTCAGGCTTTCAGCACTTCGCAGAATCGGTTCACTGACCAAGCAGTCAGAGCTGATCAAACTAATTGCTGTCCTGGCAACCAAAGGTGCCGTAGAGTTGCAAAGTGCGATTCTCATGCAGCGACGAGGCAATCGCAACCGGGAAGCATCACTGTACCCTTACTGCAGTCCGCGACCAATTAGTCTTGCATTGCCGACGAGGCAATCGACCAACCACTCCTCACACACCGAGACGACCAGCCTAAAAGTCGGGCACAGAAGTGGCCACCAGTTGTGGCTTTCTGCTGCTAGTGGAGGGAAGGGGGGGGAGGAAAGGAGAGGAGGCGAGTGAGCAACTTTGCCGTCAGGGTCAGCACAGCAGTAGCTGGTGTGATCAATTGTGGGTTTCCTGCTGGTAATGAGGGCTGCGTTATCAAAAAGATTCCCTGCAAAAAGATTCCTTCGTGAAACGAAATCGGCCGCACAATGGAGTAGATCGAACGGCATACAGATGCTATCTCTGACCAGAATTCGTTGGAGAATTTCGTTACAGCCCTTCCCTCCACCCAAACCAAGCCACAGGTTTCAGCACTTATCAAGCCAAACCGCATCCAGAGCGTGAGGAACAGATTAGGACACGACGACCCCTCCCTCGATCGACCCTGCCCTCAATCTATCTAGGGACAGCTACAGTGGAACTGTAGCTACCCAGTTCACAGGGTAACCAGATTTCCTGAAGAGTCCCAAATGTACAGTAAAGGGGGACTAACTCTTATGAGTTGTAATGAAAAGAGTGCGCAGGATTCAATAACGCGGAAGTGAACACAACTGACGAGTGAATAACGAAGCCTAGCACTAATGCTAGAGTAAGGATCATGGATAGGATAGGATTGCTTAGAGAGTTCTGGTAGCGGAAGACTTGTATCCGTAGTAGTGTAAGGAAAATCCCTTTTCCTTACTTCGCGTCCCTGCTCAGCGCGTACATGACTGTTCCCGCCAACAGTTCTCAACAGTACACCGTTACCTCTCGCCTCGACTACTGTTCCCGCCACTGTTCACACCGCGACCCAACCTCACGGCCTGGTTGGTAACCCGCGCTCCGGACCTCCGCCTCGACAATTCCCAGCTTCGGCGCTAGGCCCGTAGTGTGTTGGAAACAAAGTAACTTAAACGCTTCTGAAGTATCGAAGTATCGACACGAAACGAAGCAGACTACAGTGAAGCAACACGAGTCAACAAAAGCAACCGCTGGAGGTTACGCGAAGGTCAAAGGCCGCTGACCTTTGACTCGACGAAAAATACAGTGCGACAGCAAGGACACATAACTGACTCGATACTGAGCAGTTATCCGAGTCGGCACTGTATCGAACCGCAACAGCAAAAACGGTTAAAGTATAACTTTTCATATTCCTTTGTAATCATATAGAAGCCTTGTATTTCTCTGCTATTATCAACTTATCTTGTTCTCACACACCAATACAAGGTGGTTCAGTAACTCTGATATTAACGCTTCCGCAACTACAACATTCCTACTTGAACCTAGATCTTAGCCTTGAAAGATCCTAAGGGCTATTTCTCAGCCCAACATGGTATGAGAGCAAACAAGGCAAGATCGATTTCCAAAATACCTACGACAACACAAGACATGGCAACACAGAAGGAGAGAAGCTCCTCCAACGGATCCCTTGACACTACTCCTACTCCACCTCCAGCCTCTGTACAGACAGAAGAAGGCACAGTAACAAGACCAGCTACGGAGTCGACCGAAACTCCAGGGAATCTAGCAGCAAACTTCGACCTGAACATGATGGAGAAGTTTTTCTCCTTCATGTCCTTCTACGAGCAACACCAGCAAGCAGCTCCTGCGCAATCAAACAACAGCGACAACAACAACATAGCTACTCCGATGAGCCTCGACGGTTCATCCTATGCACGCGGAAATCAACAGCAATCCACCTTTGCTCCGTACGAACCTCAACGTGGCTCCATCAGCTTTGCGCCACACCAACAATCTTCACATGGACAAGAGAAGACATTGGACGCGCTTCAGGTGCAATCGCAATTCGCACATGTTCTAAAACTGCAGACATCAACACCCTTCGACGGAAAAGACTTCTATACCTAGTCATTTGAGTTCGAGCTGATGATGGAGGGCGCGCAAATACTCGGATTCTTCGACGGATCCCTGCCATACCCAGCGCATGGGACACAATACGACAAGCAGCAGTATACATATCAGTCGCTGATGGCGTACACGATACTTCTTCGAAACTTAACGCCAAACAAGCAGCAGAACACTCGGTCTTATCGAGGATACGATAACTCCGCCGAACTGGCGTACGACCATCTGAAGAACCTGTATCAAGCAACAAACAGTGTCAACCAAAGTCGTCTTATGGCACAGCTGACAACAGTGGAAAGAAACCCGGGGAAAAGGGAATGGCGTATATCAGCCGTTGTCGAGGACTGCGTGACAGACTCCTTCGATGCGGAGGATCAATATCCGAAGAAGCCTTCGTCATAGTCATCATCGCTGGACTCGGTCCTCATTGGCGCTCCACGCGAGCACTTCTTCGCGCTCACGGGAAAATCTCCGAAGCATCACTCTGCGCCGAAATTCACGCTGAACAGCAGGATATGGACCTTGTCAAACTTATATGCTATAGTCTATCTAGGCTGTAGTGGGGTAGTTCATATAGGGTACAACACTTTTAGGTTTCCTACTTGTACCCACCTGCTTGCTAGTTCAGTCATTCATTCGTTCACATTCTAACATGGTATTCTGAGCAGGTTCCCTAGTGGGAACGTTTTTAAGGGCCCACCACAACTTTTTTTTTCCTGCCCTGCCCGAAGCGCGCATCGCGCCCTACCCGAAGCGCGCCTTGCGGACCTACCCTAGACGCCCGACGCTGGCCCCTTTCCTGCCCGTCGCGGCCCCTTTGCCGCCCGTTGTGGCCTATTAGCCGCCCGTCGCGGCCCCCTTTGCCGCCCGTCGCGGCCCTACCGTCACCGCCCGTCACGGCCCCTACTGCAGTCGCGACCTCTACTACTGTCGCGGCCCCACCTGCCGTCGCGGCCCTAACTGCCGTCACGGCCCCTACTGCCTGTCGCGGCCCCTACTGCTGTCGCGACCCCACCTGCCGTCGCGGCCCCTACTGCCGACGCGGCCCCTGCTGCTGTCGCGGCCCTCGCCCGTCGCAGCCCCTGCCTCGCGGCCCTGCCGTCACCACCTGTCGCGGCCCCTACTGCCGCTGCGACCCCTGCTGCCGTCGCGGCCACTTCTATCGCGGCCCCTGTTGCCGCGGCCCCTGCTGTCGCGGCCCCTGCTATCGCGGCCCCTGCTGCCGCGGCCCCTGCTGACGCGGCCCCTGCTATCGCGGCCCCAGCTGTCGCGGCCCCTGCTGTCATGGCCCGGCCCTGCACCCGCCCCTGGTAAGCACCCGCGCCGCCCTGCTGCGCCGCGCCGCCAGCATCCGAGCCGCGCCGCCCAGCCGAGCCGCGCCGCCCAGCCGAGCCGCGCCGCTCAGCCGAGCCGCGCCGCCCATCTGAGCCGCGCCGCTCTGCCGAGCCACGCCGCCCTACCGAGCCGCGCCGCCCTACCGAGCCGCGCCGCCATACTGAGCCGCATTGCCCTGCCTGCCCTACTGCCTCTGCCGCTATTGCTGCTACTGCTGCTACTACTGCTACTGCTGCTATGGCTAGCCCTACTGTTCTCACCTTTGATGCTGAGGGATGTGCAGTTGACTTTGACGTGTGGGTTGACGACCTGCAGCTCTTTTTTCAGTGTGACTCTAGGGATGGAGTATCCCTTTTCGATCACACGTCCGGTGTTTATAGTGCACCTGCTGCCACTGCTGACATTACGGTTCGCTCGCAGTGGACCACTCGTGACGCTGTTGCTCGTCTTTCTGTTCGTAGTCACCTGCCGCCTGCTGAGCGCGCGCATTTTGGCCAGTACAAGACTGCTAAGTCTTTGTACGACGCTGTCGTTGCGCGCTACTCCTCCCCTGCCACTGCTGCCCTCAGCCGCCTCATGCTGCCGTACCTTTTCCCTGACCTTGCCGCCTTTGCCACAGCCGCTGACCTCATTGCTCACCTCCGCACTAGTGACGCCCGCTACCGCGCTGCCCTTCCCACTGAGTTCTGTGCCAAGAACCCCCCCCCCCCCATGTACATCACCCATTACTACCTAGTCACCCGCCTCCCTAACTCCCTTGCGTCAGTGAAGGACCACTTTCTCTCCCTTTGCCCCACCGAGCTCACTGTCGACCTGCTAGAGGAGCGCCTCACTGCAGCTGAGAAGAGTATCTTAGCTGTAGGTGCTTCTCGCGGCGACCGTCGCACCCCTTTCTTTGAGGGGTGTTCCCCTGTCCCCCTTCTCCCCTCTGTTGCTTCTGCTTCTGCTGTCGACCTCGTTGGCACTGAGGAGGTCGGAGCTGCGTCTGCCCCTAGTGGGAGGCGCCGCAACAGCAAGGGCAAGGGGAGCAAGGGTGGTGGAGGGGACGGCGGGGGCGGCGGCGGAGGCGGTGGAGGTGGCGGAGGGGGTGGCGGTGGAGGTGGGGGTGGTGCCGAGAGTTGGGGCTTCAGTGGCGGAGGTGGAGGTGGTGGAGGCAGCGGCGGAGGTGGTGGAGGCAGCGGCAGCGGTGGTGGAGGCAGCGGCAGCGGTGGTGGAGGTGGCGGCGGCGGTGGTGCTGGTCGAGGTGCAGCCGCGCAGCGTGGAGGCTTTGGTGGTAGCCAGCGCCAGCAGCAGCCGCGTTCCCGTGAGACCCCGTCGGCACAGCAGCTCAGTGAGTGGTACGCTGGGCGTGGGACGTCTGGGGGTGCTGGTCCCTGCACTTACGTTCTTCGCACCG